AGTACTTTACGTTCTACAAATAAGTCTGTTTGCTCTACTTCGATCTAAGCTTACTTGCATCACCTATCATCCTATGTGAAAATTTATAAAGTATAGAACTTGCCTTGGTAGGACTAGTTGGGCCTTTTAATAAAGGCAGATAATTTGAGTCTATTTATAGATTCGTAAGCAAATACTTTTAAAGTAATTGTACTTTATGAAGCAAATGTAATAAATTAACACTCTTGTGGGCCTGCTGTTACATATTTCTGCAAGTTATTTCATACAGATCATGGTAAGAGCTCATATTTAAATTTTGGTTTTCAGCCTCGTCTGCTAAAATGGGCCTAGTTGAAACAAAGTTGGCAATCATTCCAGGTGCAGGTATGAGTGCTTTGCTTTTGTTACCGTAGATAATGAAATAACATGTGCTTTGGGTACTTTGATTTGGATTGTTGTTTATGAATTTCTGCATATTTTTGTATTTCCATTAAGGATCATTGTCATGTTTTTCAAAGCTTATTGCTCATATCACTTACGGAAAATTAATAATTTTTTTCCTTATTTTAAGCAAGCGGCACTTGCGTATTATGCTTTTAGTCCAAGTCTATATTGAGTCAGTCAGTATGGAGCGGTTTTGTAAATGAGATTTGATGTCTTGATCTCAAGTCTGAGTAACTTTGGTCAGACTAGGAAGAGAGGTAATATTAAATATCAGTATACAAAAATGGTAATTTAATTAATGATCCATCTTTGCATACCATCTGCTACTTTAGGTTGAAAATTCTGCTTTCATACTGCTTGTGAATTGGTTTTAAAAACTTTAAAAACAGAAACGATGATTGTGATTGAATCTTTTGTCTTATCAACATTTTTTGAGATTTTTGAGGTGCAAAAGCTCTTTTAATACCTTTCCTTATATGAAAGGCCAGTTGGCTTGCTTTTTCTGGATACAGGATGAGTGAAAGTTCTAAAAAGGCATGAATGATGTTTGATGAGGCCTCTGTGTTATGAAAGCGTTTGTTTTTGTTTTATGGATAGACCATTCTTATTTTAACTGAGACATCTGCTTTTCTGGGGAAAGGGCAATGATTTGAAAAAATCCCCCCCTCTGCCCCTGAGCATTCACCATCATTTCTGTAAGTTCTAGGGGAACTTTATAATTTTTCTTTGTACCTAGTTTCTTTCTAATGAGTGGAAACTCTTGAAACACTAGGTCCAATTTTAATAGATACTGTTGTAGCTCATGTTGAAAGAAAAGTAAAAACTGTCATAATGGGAAGGCTAGTATGAACTCTGTGTAAGAAACAATCCTCTCCTGTCACTAATATAGACAATTATTGTACAATTTAAAATGCTCCATTATTATGGATATTATTGAGTTGTGATTTCTCTCCCAATATTTTCTCCCTGGCTCTTCTTTTTCTATGTATTCAAAGCTATGTTTTGCATAAGGATAACAATGAGTTCTAATGGCTGATCCCTTCTTAGCAGTGGATTAAGATGAATCATTTTGGTAATTTTAAAGATATATTTCCTTCTGGTGATGTTGTCATGAGATAATGTGCCTTGATGATAAGTCCTCGTGAAGAAATAGAAAGTGCTCTGTTTATTTTTGTCTTCTCTGTCCCCTTCTCTCTCCCTATATGAGAAATCCCACAGGATAATCGTACTGGAGGCGTACTCTCCAGTCCATGAAATTCAGTGTTCTCCAGATAGTCTCAATATTCTTCAACTTACTGAGATTGCCTCATTTTTCCTTGTCTTCAGTTATTTATAGATATATCAAACTACTTATGCTTTCATCTGAAATGCTAGGTGACTGACTCATAATGAGTTTCTTTGAAAGTTTCATTCAGAATGTTTTATTGCCTTCGGAAGACTGAGGTTTGAAATATGCATTTTTTTTTTTTCATCCTAAAATAATGCAGTGATTTTTTATCCACTGACTTTAAAAGCAAACAAATACAATGTTTTTGAGGATGCGTTTTTTCTTCAGCTTCTTGAAAATATGCCTCAGATATTACCGTGTTACAAGGCTTTTTAAACTTGCAAAGTTTAGATGTGTTCAGTAAAGAATTTTTCCACGTTCTTGCCAGCCCGTCGGAGGACTGTTTTTGCTGAATGTACTTGAGCTTATCACAACTTTTTCCTGATCAGCCTGCACTTGCACCTACCTCATTGAGCAGTGTGAGTGTTTCAGCCCTTTTCACCTACTGTGATCATACCTCATGTCTTCAGAAAGCAAAGAATGAGGGAAAGGATTGTGCATGTGTCATCTTGATAGAGCAGCCAAATGTGCGCAGTTGGACCCTAAGCCTGGCTTTCACAGGTGAATCAAATATATATGTATATTTTTATAACGCTTACTTCCATCTGCTCTGGGCCAAAGTAGGATTGGGCAGTGAAGTTGAAGAGAGAGCCATGAAGAGATCTCAGGAGCTTTCTGCTACCATCTTACGTATCTGAAACTCACTGACAAAATATATGCAGCTTCTTCTAAGCTGGTCCATGCAGAATAACAATCTATTTCTGGTGGGTGACAGAGTAGAATAAGCAACAGGAGTAGTATGTGACAGATCTAGAGATTTCAACTCTGGTGATAATTGATGTGGGTGTTTGAGGTCAAATGAAAAATTTCTTTTATTTTTTGTTTTGTTTTTTTTTTTTAAAAGATGAGGAAATTACACACGCAAAGCAACACTAAAAGAATGTTGCTAGAATTGAATAGTGGAGTATTATATGTTCAGGGGAGATCAGCTGTGACGTTTCGGACCTTACTCTGCACAGTGTTGCATTCCATCCTATTTTGAAATGTGATCATGAAAAGACTAGACTAGATGCTGTCTAGTGACAAACCTAGTTTAATACAAAGTTCCCAGGTGCAAGAAATTTTGCTTCTGATTATGCCCCAAAGTACTGTAGCCTGCTGAAAGCTGAGGTTGAGCAGCAGTTAGTTAAATCCTGACTAATATTTGGAAATGAAGAGTTTTTCTGAGTCTGCTGAGGGTCTCAACCAAGGAGGCATTTGTGGAGTATGTTTGGTCTGTGCTAACAGGTTGAGTTTCCTCAGAAAATTCATGGTGACGAGCAGAGGAAAAGTAAACGGGGATGAGAGCAGGTCTTGCTTTTATACAATAGCTACATGCATAGACCAGCTGCCTAGGATGTGAGAGAGGAGCACTGGATCTCTTGCCTTTGGAAATTCGAATCTAGTTCTCTCTCCACTGTGGAAAAAAGCCTTAACTGCCAAACTGTGAGTTAAAGAAAGTAGAAAGGCTCTCCGTTTTTCCTGTTCAGTGAGTCCTGCTGTCCAGAAAGGAAGTGAGCATTTCGAGGACCAGAGGCACTGTGTAGCAAAGAGAACAGGGCTTGGTAACTTGGTGCTGGGGCGGTTACCTGCCAATAAATGTTAACGTTTTCTGTTTTCTGTTTCATTAGCCACCACCCCAAGTATATGTGTCAGACTATCCATTTGTTTGTTTTCTTCCCCATGAACTTTGGATCTATTGGGTAATTTTGGTCCAATTTGACTACAGGGCAGTGGTTTCAAAAAATAGGGAGTACCTAGAATTGTATCAGAAGTTCTCAGATGAAGGGAATAACCTTTATTGTTCTCACAGAGGAGAAGTTTCAGCATAAACTCACCTATTATTGGACATGAAGGAATCCACACTGGAGGGACATATTATGGATGTTCTAGCTGTGGAAAACGCTTCAGTCAGAATGCTCATCTCACTGGAAGCAGGGAGTCTGTATGAGCCATGAATTCATGGGAAACCAGACATTAGGAATTCTACTGTTTATTGAGGAGACTTTTTTGGTTTCTTAATCCAAAAAAAGCCAAAAAGCCATTTGAATAACTTTCTGTATGACAGGGTAGTCTGTAAAGAACTCAGCTTCATGCAAGAAGAGTCTCTCTTACACAAAAATCATGTTCTTTCTCTTCACGCTGTGATTTCCCAAACTAAAGTAAAAAGAAAGCAAACCTCTTACATTAACTAAATGTAGTTTCTACTGTCTCTTGACTCGCACAGGAGGTGTTTACAGTGATAAATTTCATCTTTGCTAGAAATTGTCTTTTAAAGCATATATCTTCCTTCCTCCACTTTGTGACTTTTTAAAGGTATCTGCATTCATAATTTATTTCTGCTGTTTATCTCCAGCCTCTCACTATGAATGTCATACTGGGCTTGCAATAGAGAAAGGATGCCTTGCTGGCATATTTGCTTTTAGTTAGTTAGTACCTTGTGTGGATACCACTCAATAATAGATGTGTTCTGAGGAGTTAAAAATGCTGCAAACAGCATACTTATGCTTCCTTGCTTTGTTAGTAGAATGAGGCACAGTTGGTTGGACAAAGAGAAATGTTCTGTGCTGGTAGGAAGTGGAGAAGGCAAGTATATTGCCCCCCGCCCCTTTTCGTTTTGTTTTATGCAGGTGCTTTTGGGAATTTTATGTATAGAGCTAAGCTATTGGTTTTCATCAACAATTATGTTTCCACATAAAATGGTAAAACAAAATGATGGAGGACGCAATTGAAATTAATAGATTGATGTCAGCAGATAATTTGACTCAGCTAGGTTAAAACTGTAGCTACCATCCTGCAAGCTTGCAACTTTCATACCTCTTTTTTGTTTTGTTTCTGAAGACACTTCAATTTGCAGGACTTCATTCAAGTCATGAAAATAAATTTTGTCGTTATTCTCTCCAGTAAAAAAATACTACTTTATTACAGAGCTGTCTCCACAAAGTCTTGAAGAACAACTCAGTCTCTCTAAAAATAAAATAAAAATCCAGCGCATAATCCACAGGAGAATGTTCTTCCTTGTCAAGTTTCAATTTAAAAGTATCCTTTACCCAGAAGCCTTTAAAAAAAAAAAAAAGTTTTAAAAAAAAATCTTTGTTAATGTGAATCAACTGTATCATCTTTTTATGTCTTAAAATTACTTTGGACACCTTTTTTCAGACGTGAAACTGAAGCTATGTTTTGTAGCATGCTGGACCTTTGCTTGTCTTCAAGATATATAGCAAGCATTTGTGTTCTCTTTCCACTTTGGTAATAGTATTATTTGATTCTTTTTCTAAATTTTAAAGTGTGTTTGGGGAAGTTGCGGTATTCGTGAACTATAAAAGTTGATGGAGGAACGCACTGAAAAGTTAATTTTCTTTGCATGGAAGAATGAGGGTAAGCGTGAAAACAGGTTTTAGATAATCATTCTGAATTTTCATTAACTCCTAAATTATTCTCTTTCACTTTTAAAAACAGAATGAAGGTCTCTATTAGAGGATTTATTTTAAAATAAAATTTAAAAAATTGGACAGAGATGTCAAGAGTATTTCCAGATGTGACAAACTCATACAGAATGTGATCTTGCTAACAG